CCATAAGCAGAACCAGGATCAGAGAAAATAGTCTGATATCCCGATATCCTGGCCTTTCTAATATGAGTAAATCAAAGATTGATTCATTTCTAGAAGTCTCCCTGTCTGCAGACACCAGCTCCTACCCCTATCCTACCCCCTGCCCTACGTCTTCATATCTCTTAATCAGAGGCCAGACAGGCTGGCATCCTTGCCCCACCTCTCCACACTGTCATCCCCATGGCTCCTACAGTGTTGTTACATAGTTCCCAGTTCAAGAACCACCAAGAGTAGCAAGGTCGCTGTTGTTCCTTGGATAGATGGAACATGTGAGTTAATGTCCTGCCAGAGGGTCCCAATCCAGGTGTGTGTGTGAGTGTGTGTAAATGCATACCAGTGCACACTTATGTGAGAACCCACGTAGCGGGTTCTCCTACACATGGACACATATACTTCTGGAACCATCAGCACTTGGCCATGAGATTTTTTACATGTGTATGTGTAAACAGCAGGTGTGGGGTAGCATGCATGCTCAAGTCAGCATCAATCTCTGCAGGAACGTAGATAACTGTGTGAGAAACTATGTATGAGCGTCTCAGGAGTCTACAATAGTGTCTGTGGTGTGTATCAGTCGACCTGTTTATGATTGTGTGCAAGTGCATATAGCTGAATCTATATTGGCATTAAGACTGGTAAAAGCGTGGATGTGAAAATACATCCTGGCTGCCTATACTTGTGAATGAGTGTGACCGGGTGTCTGTATGTGCAAGGGCAAAGGGCAAACTTATGTGGAGAGAGAAAAGATTTCTGCCATTTCCATTGCATTTCTCCTAAGTAATCATAGGAGAATATTTGTGTCGGAAGGCAGTATCTTTCATGCCTAAATATATCTCAGCATGTAGAAATGAAACATGATATTGTGCAGCCTGAGATGCTACACATTAACATTGTTTATCATTGACGGAATGAAATAACCCATGCAAGGCCCTGGTAGCGTTTCTCACAACTTTATTTAACAGTCTCGGCTGAGCGGCCTTTGGCAAGCAAGCAGATGTATACACATACTGTAGATTACTGCAACGAATGCCTAGCTTGTAGGTCATCATGCATAGCATATACATCATATAACAGAGGCATGTCCTCTCAAAATTCCAAGTGCCCCCCTCTTTCTTTGGGCTCACCTTAGGTCCCTTCCTTTCCCAAATCTGATTAAAACCCATCTCTTCACACTTCCCTCGGAGGGGAGGTCTCTGCATTTGTGGGAAAAAGAGATAAAGTGGAAGGTGAGGATCTGGGGTGGGGGAAGAGATAACACTCTAAGACCAGGTCACTGGCATGTGTTCCACTCCTCCCTGTTCTATCAGGGACAGGCCCCAGGCCCCAGCAGGAGTTGAAACCAGAAGACTCAAGGAAGCCTTTTATAGGTTAGTCATTCAGAATACATAAAAAGAACACTGCACTTGCCAAATTAGGAGTGAACCCTAACTCACAGAAATGGTTCCCTGGTTGTCATCTTTAAGGGCACGATAAAGACTCACTTGAGTCCCAGTGAGAACCACCTTGCATAAAGTAACAGGCCTCAGGGGAAGAAACAGAAACCAAAGCGCTGGGGAAGCTGGAGCTTCATCTGAAAGGCCAACACAAGAAGGGAAGTGAAGATGGTAGAACCACAAATGAGGGTCAGACGAACTAAAAACGGCTCTCTTGCCAGCCACTGGACAGTGAGAAGACATATTACTTAGTCCACAAAGATAAGGAATGAAATGATCTTTCCAGTTTTTGCCAACCCCCCAAAACAAACAAACACTTCACTGCTATTGAGTCCATGCCAACTCCCAGTAACCCTATACGACAGGGTAGAACTGTCCCCGTGAGTCTCTGAGACTGTCGCTGTTACAGGGAGGAGAAAGGCCTGTCTTTCTCCCTCAGAGTGGTGGTTCTCAAACTGCTGACCTACAAGATAGTAGAATAACCTGTAAGCCTACGCCACCAGGCCTCCTACATTTTTGCCCAACATTCCTTCATCTCCCAAGTGGCAGGGCCCACACCCCAAATGCAATCCCAAAGCCCTGCTCTCTGGACTCTATTGCCTACCACCCCGAGCATTGGGTGGGCCCTCGAAGCACCAAGATGGAAGGAGGCAAGGAACGCTTCCATCCGCTTGTTGTCCTGTGTTTCTCTGTGCCCTAAGTTTCTCTGGTGAACTTTTCTCCTACCCAGACCCTCCCAGCCCGTGCCCTAAAGCCTGGCTAAGTCCAATGTAAACAGTAACACCTCCCCAAATCTCCTGCCACCAGTCACAAAGCATCACCAGAACTATCTTCCCAGACAGTTCCTGGGCCCTCCCCACCATTTCAGCTGCTAGGGGGGCCACCAGGGACATCAGCTGACTGCTAGCACCAGAAAGTATAATCTTCACACCAACAGGAGTCAGGAAGGCCACTCTCCTCTGGAGCCTGGTGCTGTGAGCTGTCTCCTGGGTGAAGACAGAAAGGGAGGGGAAGAATTTCCTAGTGTTTGGATTACAAGGAAGAATGTTGAAAAGACACACACACACACACACACACACACACACACACGCACACGCAGGCACGCACAGACTCACACCCTGACGATGCAGACAAAACACGAACCATGTCCGTGGTAGAACATTTTAGCGTTCGGTAATATTCTCAGAGGCCCAAGGTTTTCAGCCAAATCCCAGGTCTGTGCACAAGGACACTGCATAAATCCTTCCCCTTATGAAAGGCCGGTCTGCGCAGATGGGACCACTCTTAAGTAAACTGTGGCACCCTCGTCCATCCATCTCTGGCGGAGCGGCAGGGGGCTGGCCCTACCAGCCTGGAACAGGCTGTTGTGATTTGGGGGCGAATAATGTTCGAGTCCCCAATTTGATCTCTCTGACACAGGAGGTGTCTATTTGACCACAACCCAAACTCCCCTCCCCTCCTCTCCACTCCCTTCCCCCAAGGGGAGCTCCACTTGTAAAGTCAGATCGCAGGAGTCTGCTGCTGAAATGGTGGTGGTGGCCCAGGTGGGGACTCAAATTGGAGCTTCTGAGAGGTGGCTAGGGTGAAGCGGTGCTGAATTGCAACAAGGTCCCTCAAGCGCCATTTCTTTTAGTGCAATGTTGGGTGGGGTGGGGGGAAATCCTTCTAGCAACTCCACTTTCTGACAATCTGCCTCGTGAACATTTATTCCACAAGAGGTTGGGGATGGGGGATGTTTAAAAAAAAAAAAAAGACCAGATAATTAAGCACTCAGCAGAGGTAGATGGCTTTGTAAGGCTGCTTTCATCCTGAAACCCATCGGGTCCCCCCACCCCCACCGGCCACCCGTAGAATGGTTAGCAGGCATCCAGCCCCTGCTCCTCTCCTCAGGTGTGTCAGGAAGCCACAAGACAGGTGGGTAGAGGGACAGGCAGACCCGGGCACCCCAGGTGCTCCCCAGGAAACGCAGAGACTGTGAAATTACACCAAGGCTGGACAACTTACCAGCGCATGCAGGGAACCCTTGGGGTAGTGAAATCATTAACTTGCTAATCAGCTACACCTTGCCTGCTCCTTTCTTCCTGGAGAAAAACAAAACAAACCATTGCAAATCGCTTTCACATCAGGTTCCTATGTCAGTCACTTGGTGACAAATTATGCTTTTGAAGAAATAGACTGTCTGCCTCCCCATACACTGAAATGGGTCAGTTAGGTCCCTGCCTTTTTCCAACTTGTCCCCACCAGGCTTCAGTGGGATGAACAGACACACTGTTCTGGAGAGGCAAGTTCCCAACCCCCCTCACCCCCCAATTCCTGCTCTCTTTAGCCTGCTTGTTGGTGCTAAACTGCCAAGACCCACGTGGAGAAAGGCGGATTGATTAGAATCGTAATCATAAATCCCTGGCGTCCACACGGCTTTACCTTTTACAGAGTGTATTCGCACATTATCTGTCGCGGTCTGAAGCGAGTGGAGCCGGAAGGGAGCTTAGCAACCATTTAGTCCAATCCCCTGGTGTAACAGATGAGGAAACTGAGGCCCAGAGGCCTTTCCCACAGGCCACAGCAAAGGCACGGCGCATCCAGGCCCGAGCTCTCCTAGTCTAGGGGTTCTGGGGCGACTCACAGCCTCTGCGAAGAGGAAACACACACAGCCATCGTTTGGTTCCACAGTGGATAGAAAACAAGAAATCAGAAAATGAAGAGCAGGCTCTGAGAATGAATCACCGCAACTCTGGTCAGAAATAGCTTGGAGGGCTAGG